ATCCCCAGGTCCCTCCATTCCTTCCCCGCTCCCCGCGCTGCCCCCGGAACATCACAGCCCAACACAGCGCCCCGGCGAGCGCAGGCACCTCCCAGTGTCCCCAGACCTGTTCCCCCTCGGAAAGGCGCAGGGAAGGAAGAGGTGGCCAAGCTGAGCCCCCACCCGCTCACAGCCACTTGCTCTTTGCACCCTGCAGGATCCCGGGAGCCAGGAGCACCCGGGAGCATCCTGAGCATCCTGCTGAGCCAGGCCCCAGCAGACAGGAGAGAAGCAGCTTCCACTGGGCACACCGGGGAAAAAATCCGACCTGGAGTGCGGGAAGGCAGCGCCAGGACCAGGCCTCTCCCGCGCCTGCCCGCAGCAGAGAGGCTCTCGCAGAGGCAGGGCCAAGCAGCCGGCTGCGTTCCAGCAGTCTCCTCCAGACAGGCTGTTTCCCCGCTCGCTCAAGGATACAAAGGGAGCTGCAGGAGCCACGCGTGATGATAGCAGGTCTGGCGGCGCGAGGGAGAGATCTTATCTTTTTTTTATTTTTTTTCCCCCCTTCCAAAGCCACTAACAAAAGTGACTGATTGGGAGCAGACAAAACACAGAAACACCAGCTTTGCTCTGCTGGCTTCTGCCAGCCAGAAGCAGCAGCCTTGGGAAATACTGCGGCATCGGGGCCAGGAGCCAGACAAACGAGCCCTGGGGAAGAGGGAATCGGCAGCAAAACAGCCTCGGTCCTTGGGTCTGCTGCGGACCCTGAGGGATCCCGAACTGCCCCTCTGGCAGATGGGCTGGTGCTCTGCAAAGCAGAGGGACGAGCGGTGCCGCGAGGCCCAACGCTGCAGTAACACCCGCTCGGAGCACCCCCTCCAGCACGTCTAGTCCTCCCAAGCCAAAAAAAATAAATAAAAACCCATAACCCATAACAGCAACATTCCCACGGGCAGCGAGGCCAGGACGCGGCGCCCGGGGCGCTTGGTGCCCCCAGGTGGGTGCCGGCGGGCAGGCTGCCACGCTAGCGGACCCGGAGGTGACACCGGTGACACCTGCGCAGCACCCGTGGCCCTGGCCCAGCCGCTGGGATGGCTGCAGCCACCAGGTGCCCCCCACAAGCAGCAGTTTGGACCCGCCGGGCATCTGCGGAAGCCTCTCTCCTGCCAGGGTGAGAAGGATCGAGATGTCCCCAGGGCCTGGCCTTTGTCCTCCGCGAGGAAAGCCGCTGCAAACTGGTTTAAAACCCAAAGCAGAGATGTTCGCTCAACTCCTCAGCTCAGGAGCTGCAGCAAAAAGTAGACAGAGGCCCCGTGCCCCAGTTCCTGGAGCAGCATCCTTCACCCAGGCCCCGCTCCCTGCCTATCCTAGCCACGGAAACCTGGCTTCTCTCCTCCGTCTCCCCCCAGCTGACGGAAAGATCTCCGGGATGAAGGCAATAAGCCGTGGTGTGGAGGAGGTGAGCTCCAGCCCGGGCTCCCCGCGCTCCCTCCCACCCGGCCCTGCCAGCTCCCGGGCAGTTTAAAGCCGTCTTAATTAAAGCGCCGTGGCCAAAGCAGGCAGGGGCCAGCAGGGCACGGG